AACAAATGAATAAACTCAATTATCTCAAAATATAATTTATGTAAAAATGGGCTGTTTCTATTGACAACACCCCATATGTCCATATTCACAGCTATTTCAAGTAAAGATCTTGCATTTGTTCAACCTTTTTTTGATAGTATCTTGATTCATAAACTTAGGAGGATAATAAAGTAATTAGTGTAGTGTAACTGAAGGTTTATAATAATATAGACTAGTATACCTTTGAGCCTAAACATTAGATAGTCATTAACTCTATAATATACTGATTCTTATACTTAAATATTTTGCAAATTATGACATATAAAGGTAGAAAACTACCACATCAGCTTAGTGAATATTTCTATATTTTACTCAATGAGTGGGCAAATAAAAGCAACTGAAAATGTATTTGTAGAGCATGCATGGAAGCGGTGGAAAAAGAGTTTGCCTTGCAAAATGAGAATATAAAAATTACAAATACTTTATGTTATTATGCTAATCATCTCAAGGATTGTTCTTATTCTGCTATAAAGCACTCACCTAAACAAATATAAAATATCATCAACATGGCTACTTCAATATCAAAAAAATATGCAGCAATATTTAATATAGATAAAAAAGATGATGATGATGATTCAGTTTCAACAACATTAACTCATTCATCTAGTTCATTATTTGTATCTAACAATTTTTTAAAAAAACAAACAACATTATCTCAATATATTGGCTATCCTCTCAATGCTTTTGAAGTTCCTAAGTTTGAACATTTTGTACTTCAAGCTATAATTTCAACTGGAGTTGCATTTCAATGAATAGAAAATCTAGAAGTTCGCAAATTATTTCAATTTATTGCTCCATATCTAAAATTATCTGATCGAAGATCATTTGGCAATCATATTTTAATAAATGCAACTAATGAAGTTCAGAAAACAATCAAGGATCTTGCTTGTGATGATAAAATTAGTGTTACAATTGCTTTTGATGGTTTGAGCAATGTTGTAAATCAGGAACTGATGGGCATAGTATTTATTATATCTTTGGGTAAAACTTTAATTTGGGGAGCAAAAGATATTAGTATTGAAAGAAAACAAAAAAAAGAAATGATGTTTAGAATTTATAATCTTTTTGAAGAGATAAAAAAATTAGATATAAAAGCAAACTGTCTTGTGACTGACTTGGCTAGATTATATGCAGCAGCTTGTTGTTATTTGAGACATGAAATGCGTGACAAGGTGTTTATTCCATGCTTTGCACATCAGGCAAATTGTTGTATTGGTGATATATTTAAAGAATCGGTATTATTTAAAAATACAAGTAAATGTGCAATTCATATTGTTACTTTTTTCATTATTCTGTATATTTTACTGCCAAACTTCGTGATAAACAAAAAGATATTTTAAAAAAATATGTAAATTTAGTTACGCCAAGTATAACAAGATGAAATAGTTATTTTGAATGCTTTGATAGCATTTTTAAAAGCAAGCATCCATTAAAAGTAAGTTATTTTATTAAAATTAAAAAATTTTTAAATATGCCTTATAGTGATTAAGGAAAAAAATTAAAAATTTTAAATATTAATATGCCTTATAGTAGTTAACATTAAAAATTTGATTTTTTTTTTAGACCCTTGTTACTAAAGATGATGTAGCTTTGGATGATGATTTAAGACTTCCTAATGTGATTAAAGTTACTATTAATCATAATTCTTTTTGAGAATCATTTGTAACATTACATAATATACTTCAGCCTTTTTGTAAAGCCCTTGATCTTATGCAATGTCAACTATATAATGTTTTATATTCTTTTGGCTTTATTATGCAAATATTTAAAGAACTCGAAACATCACAATTTCAGACCAAAATAATTGAGAGACTTGAGAAGAGATGGGCTACTTGGGAACAGCTATTATTTCTTCTCTTTTTTGTTCTTCATCCTTTATATCAGCTAAATTATTTTGATCAAACACAATTATATATTAATTTTACTCACATGAGCACATGGTTATTATATTATTATAGGGCTTGGTTTGGTACTAACCCAAACAATTTACTCCATGAACTCAAGCTTTATAAACAACAAAAATATCCTTTTATTGAAAAAACATTTAACCAATATAAGGGCAACATTGTTCTTTGGTGGTCACACAACTTCGGTATTGCACCAGAATTGAGTTGTATTGCGTGCCAATTGTTTGGCATATGCATTACAACTGCCTCAGTAGAAAGACTTTTTTCTACTATAGGTTTTTTGCATTCTTCATTTCGAAATAAATTAAAAGTAAGTTTTATTTATTATAAACTTTTTTTATTTTAATATATATATTTTTTTATAAATAGCCTGATAAAGTAATCACAATAAGTCAGCTTCGTGCAGAAATTTTGCAAGCTCATAAAAAAAAATCTACTTCATACTTAATCACAACATCCTTCCTCTTCTGTCAATCCTGTTCTTGTTGTCTTTTCAACTTCTGAAGAAACTGATGCTGATGATAGTAAAAATGAAGATACTTCTTTAGAAACCTATTAGAACACTGCTATCAATGAATAGGAAGAGTTATTAATTGAAGAGGAATTTGAAGAAGAACAAGACGATTTGTATAATGCTGAAATTGATTTTCTAAATTCAGATACACACCCTGCTAAAAATCAAGCTGTGAAATATAAATTACAAAATTTGTTTTACCAAATTTATCTTTTCCCGTTAAAAATATTTGAATTATGTGAAATTTTTCATAGTGAAATGAGGCATTTTTTTTTTTTTTATAAATATGTTAAATTTAAATGATATCAGATATATAAAATTTTCAGTATACATACGATATTATGCATTTATATAAAATGTTTTCAAACCTGGACATATATATACAGGACTTAACCAAATTAAGCAGGACAGAACATTGGGGTGCTACGTTAACTAAACTATATATGGTATCATATAAGATCAAAGCATCACAGCGATAGTGATAAATAAACACAATTTTATTATTTGTATATACTCATAGCTAAGCATACAACAAAAATAGATGCCCAGCTCCAACTTTACTGTAATTAAAAGTAATATTTCATAACAATTAATATTTAGCCTCTATGAGAAAAGTTACAAAGCTATTTTTTATAATTAAATATAAAAATACTCTAAAATTTAAAATTTTAATGTTGCGAAACTTGAGAAAATTCAAATAATGGATTTAGAATCAATATTTATGATCATATATAAAAAAAGGCTTCATAATTTTGTAATCGTAATGTGTAAGAGATGACTAGTTTTTATAAAACTTTGAAAGAGAAAGAAATCTGACCTGCGTATTTAAAAGAAATTCAGGTTATTTTTATATTTAATTAATATGATATAGTTAATATAGAGCCCAACAGAACATGCACCTATTCTTTATCATTTAATTAAATTATTTATATAAAAAAAATTGCACCCTGTATCAATTTTTTTTTAATTAAACAATAAAAATTTAAAATTGTTATATATTTGAAAATTATATGCTTTATTTATAATACAAACATTTAATAAATAAAAGTGGGTACAGAAACCCACAATTGACAATGGCAATTTTAGTAGTTAATTGTTACATGTTAAATTAAATGGCCAATCATATGGAGTGATTCGATATCATGTAATTAACTAATTATAGAAAGTAATCTTATATGTCTAATTCTATGTCCATTGCTTTTAATTAGACAATTCGGACAATGGACATCAGACAGATTTCTGATGTTCAAATTCCATTCATGCCAACCCTGATAAAAAATATTATTTACATTATTATAATAAGATATATAAACAAAAAAAAAATTAATATTTTAAAATTTTGAGCAGTATCAAAAGATAAGTTGGAAAGTAAACTGAATACAGTCTTCCCTCTCTATAATCACACTATCAGGATCATAGTAACTTTTTTTAAAAAATGTGCTTATACAGTATTG